TAACCTATTAAGACTCTAGTATTTTTTACTGGCAATATACTTTTACTTCTATTAGTTTTGTGTCTCGTATGTATATATTGATGTTGTATCACTGTACATATCATTGATGAGTGATTAATATACACCATTCAGTGTCTTCATCTGGTATCAGACGACAGGTGAATCATGGCTTTTGAGATTGTTCCTGATTCCTCTAGTCATACTGTGAGTGATGTCGTATCTGCTCCGTCGGCGGTTCCTCCTAACATGTCATCACTTCGTCTCCATTAAACTCACCTCTAAGAATTACTTGTTTTGGAGAACTCAACTCATCCCGTTTTTTCGTGGCCAAAATTTGCTCAAGCATTTTGTAATCTTATCTCTCAGTTGTGCTCTACAACGACTTACCTGATCCAAATATTCTCAAATTTATACCGCTTTCGAACTCACACTTGGATTGAATGAATTGGCCACGATATTAACGGCGAGTGGTCACTGGAAGATCGAAGCAATTAGAGAAGGTACCTTAGCCTTTCCAAACATATCAATCCAAGAGTCATTGACTAGAAGTCGATCCAGTTTTTCCTCCACTAAACCCTCACCTCTAGATCTCTCATCTCTCCCAAGTAAACTGAAGCCCACTTGTTCTACCGCTTCATGAAATCCCTTTATAAGCCAAGCCATTAGAGGCGTGGATGCTGACCATCTTAACGTCAAGGTGTTTTAGGAGTTGCCATGATTCCCTCCCTCTGTCTACTTCTTTCCCCGATGGCAGCAACCATCTCCTCACAGTCACTTTGAATTTCAAAGTTGATAGTACCCTTGTTATGAGTCCACTGCGACCCCATCTCTAAGCTTTTAGCTCCGCCTCCATTGCGTTTGCTGCACTAAATGTATGGGCACACCCAGAAATCCACCCTCCAACCTTGTCTCTAAGGACTGTACTCCTTCATGCTTGATTATCCAGTCCTCTAAAGCACCCATCAACATTTAGTATCATCTCAGCATCAATCATCGCCTTCCATTTGAATTGTTTCTCAATATAGTTTTATTCTTTATCACTGACATTTTGTTATAAAAAGTTGAAAGAGTTTCCACTAAGAAGATGAAGATAATACTTGGCCTCTTAGTGTGGATCAAATCCACTAAAACATGCCCTTCAACTGTCTGTGGGTTGCACAAAACTCCCAGGGCACCAGACTCTAGATTGTCGCTAGAGCAAGCATATATTCTATATAAAAGTCTTGTGACTCTTCTAGAGCGATTTTGACACTATATATATATATCCTTCGTCAAATATTCCTAAACATACTAATTTACTCCCGTATCATTTGTGCAACACAAGCTTTATTGTCCTGGTTTAGGACATTGGGGGTAATTCGTAGCATAACCAGTTTAAGACTTGACATTATGAGATCAATAAAAAAATAGCCAACATCCGAATAGCCCATCAAAACCATATCTTGGTTTCTCACATAAATGACAAACTCTTTGTAACTCGAAAATACCGAAAGATGTGTTAAGCATTATTTCACTATTTCATTGTTGGAGGAGCGCTAAATATTGCTAGCAATTTCATCACGAATACGATATCAGAGCTGATGTGATTATGTAACTTTTAGTCCTAATGTAGTGCTCCAACGACAATGAAGTAATAGTAATGGACTTTTGATCTTAAGTTATCCTCATTATCTTCTTTGAGTTTAAACGATTCTTTATCTACTCCAAGAAATTAATAGGCAACCATTAGTGTGATGAGAACATAATACTTGTCCATATAAAACATCTCCAAGACGTTTTTCAAGAGAGACTAACTGGTATATAAAATTCCTTCACGGGAATACTCGAACTTCAAGTTGAGATGATACTTGGTCTTTCCAAGTCATCCATTTCAAATCCCGTTTTTAGGTATGAGCTAATATCGTCAAACTCTATATGTGATTCAATAATAGTTATGCATAGATTGCGTTAATAAATAAGCAAATAAATAACTCTATTTGTAATTCCTTAATGAACACATAATGGCACATATTATTTCGAGACACTTTAAAACCTTCATAATTTAACATCATATATGTTGCGATTTTTCTCATTTTGAGAACCTTAAATCATTCATGGACTTTTTGAAATAAATATTAGCTGCGTATCTAAATTTGTTATTTACTGCCAATGATATTAAGTAGCGGAACTTAATATCATCTATTGTGGGAGAATATATTTTACTAAAATCAATTATGAGTCTCTGTGTAAACCCTTGGCTACAAAACTCGCTTTATCACACCACATCATTATCATTATTCCTCTTACATACAAATGTACATTTGTAACCAACATGGTTAATATCCGATAGTGTACGTGTTATAAAGAGAATTTATTTTAGCGAGCTGAGCTAATGCCTTAGTTGCTCCTTTATATGTTAACTAGTCATGACACGTCTAGTGCCTAACTCTGAATCCAGATTATAAAATGAACAATTATATAAGCAATTGTATTGTAGATAACTATAATATTTTTATCATAATTTTCTCCCATATTTATAAAATTGATGACAATTTCTAAATCGATCAGATTGTTGTCATTTCCCAAAGACATTTAAATATTTAAATTTAGTCGTTCCGCATCGCTAGTGTTATGTTTGTTTGGTGCATCTATAAATTTATTAAAGTTTTTCATCATCTGGACGAACGTTTTCAAGATATAATTCTTCACGATATTTCAAAAGTGACAAAATTTCTTTACTAGATCTAGTGTTATGATTCTTATCTTTTACACCGATAAGTCTCCTACCCTTTTGACGCCAAGGAGCATCAGTAGATATTTTTTATCCAAGTTGGAAGAAATATATAAGACTCGCTCACTCTTTTATGATTAGTATAATCAATAAATATATTTGGCAAATTATTTGTTAAAATTTACAATACGGGACCTAATCACTCTTTTATGAGTAGTATGTCAAATTAGATGATGTCCCCAACAAAAATCACGTAATTTTAGAATCTTTTTTACTACTGTTTGACATGTATATAATGTCCAATCAAGATTAGTAAAAATCTAACTCATTATATTTTGGCCAGCATAACCTAATTGCTCATGTCATAATTTAAAAATATTTAGGTCATTAAATCTTAAAATATATTACAAAACTAGTATTTGTCTCGTGCGATGCACGGAAAATATGTTATAATAATATATCCTATATTAGGTTTATTCATATATAAAATTTTTGTTATTTAATAATTATCACCCGCGCGATGCACAGAAAAAAAATTATGTTATTATAAATATAAATAAAAAATAGAAAAAATAAAAATATTTTAAATTGTTTAATATAATAATATTTTTGAGCTTCCATTGGTCAAGTATTTATTATTTTTATAGAATACAAAATTACAATTAAAATTAAAATTAAAATTTTGTATGGTTAATATAATCTCTAATTATGTACATATTCAAATAAACTTATAGAGAGAATTTACATAATTACATTAATTTATTCTTAATTGTATTTCATCTATATTATAATTTTCACAATACGAATAATAACTAAGATAATTACATTTAGAAAGCAAATTTCAAATTTTGCATGAGTAAATTTAAACTCTAATTGAACACATTTTTTTATATGATTATATAATATATTCTTTATGCACATGTCATTCCATAAACCCAAATGTCATTCTATAAGTCCAAGACCACTTTTTGTGGAGGTAATTCAAATGTATTTTTTTTTCTTTTAAAAGTTCTAAGTTTAGAAATCCAGAAAAAAAAACATTAAAGACCCATACGATATATACATTTATATATATATATTTAAATGTTTATTTATGGCTCAAATGATTTTTTTTTTATTCTGAAGTCCAATAATTGACCCACGGCCCGCATCATTTGCTTTCTTCATCCCTTCTCGCTTCTGTCATTTCTTTGAAGCATTTGAGAGGGAGAAAAATTATATATAGAGACTTGTATTAATTGCACTGTTTCAGATATCGAATAGGTTTTCATCGAAAATTTAATCAATATTGTAATCCCAAAAAAGCACCATAAATAACAAAAGCGTATCAAATAAACTTTCATTGTAAAGCTAGAAATTTAATTAATATTACATCGTTTCATATTTTCTATTAATCGGAAATCGGAATCCTTAATCCTAATATCATAACATTTAATAACTCCATTAAATCAATAAATGTAATCCTTTGTTATGGGCGAAAAAAAATAGCTATTTTATTTTTCAAATGTTGTGCTTTTTTTTATAGTAAAGGATGTTGTGACTATTTTATATTTATAGCTAATAATAATAATAATGTTGGTAATTAATTGTAACAGTAATCTTAATTATATGGTTTGGGAAGTAACATTAATTGTAACATTAATTACTTCCCAAACCATATAACTTTATTATAGTTTAGATTAGATTAGATATGGAGATTTGAGCAAATGATAAGCAATAATATGAAACCATAATTAATCAACTAAGCATAGATAATGCGACTCTAATATCATAGGTTAGATATAAAAATAATATAATGTAAACTTACACATGCAAACATGTAAACATTTTAGCAACAACAACGTGAACTCACATTTTCATGATGTATCATGACACAAGCCAATAACCATTATAAGTAGTATTCATCATTCACCGATGATATAGAACACTCGTTGATAACGTGTTGTGAAATTAGATATATCCTCGCGTGAATAGTTATATGATTTTGATTGCAGTAAAGTAATTAGATAAAGAGAAAGACAAAATACTGAGAGAATAATAAATACTCTTATTAATCATCCTTCCGTCCAACATATACAAATATATAAAGTTCTCTAGTAATTTCCACATCTAATAATTTACAACATGGATAATATTATTTTTATTATTGTTTATGAGTACTTTTTTTTCTAATCATATTGAGAAACAAATAACAGACAAATACAATTAGCTAACAAACTCTTGATGTAAATTATCTAATACTTCAAAAAAAAAAAAAAAAAACATAAAATGAATTTAAAGTGAAATTGAGAAGTGTTTTAATTTAAATATAGGAACTGGTTGGTTCTATAAAGATAGAAAGAATACCCGCATGTTTCGTCTCTGAAAAATGTAATGTAATTAAAGAGGATCCATCGGTGTAAAGGGGATGGTATTTTTGTTGTGAACCCAGTAAGCAACAAATACTGAAATGCCTAAGGCGAGGAGTGATATGAGGAAAGCGAAGGCACTAGAAACATCCCAGTAGCTATCTGAAGCTGAAGCCACCACACGAGAAGAGCCTGGGGCTACATCTAAACCTGCCCAATCACAACTAATTGTATAATGTCCTGATCCATGCCATGCATTTCCATCCACTGGATACCAAAATGCAGCGGAGAACTTGCTCGATTGCCCGATTGTGAACTGCACATCCTACACTCCGCAAACCCAACATTGTTAACAGACAGATAGATTCATCAAATGATCGAAAATATGCATAATGATTTATGAACTTTAATTTGTAATGAAGATCAAAAACCACTCTCTTGATGGGATTAAATATATCCAATTACCCTAATTGAATATAAGAACGATATGGCCCTATTTGGTAAAATAGTTAGTCTATCAGCCAATTTTGACTTATTTGACCACTATTAACTGTTTGACTTGGTTAAACAATCAATATAAGTGTTTGATTAATTAATTTTTTGTAAAAACTATTGTTCTAAAATGCTAAAATTCAAAAAGCTGCTCAATGTAGCTTTTTCGATCAGCTTTTTGAGAAAGTCATTTTGTATATAATCAGCTAACAGCTAATTTACCAAACACTTTTCTATAATTAGCTAATCCTATCAACTAGTCAAACCCACTAACCCAATCAGCTAACAACTATAAGCTAACAACCATTTATCAAACACCTCCAATATGTTTTCACTTCAGATCCAATATGACCAACTTCGCTAACTCAAAACTGGATAATAGTGAGTAATAGAATAGACATTCAACCTGTTGAAGACGATCCATTGTTCTCAGAGGCCTTGCAAATTCAAAATAGTAACTGCCCTTCTTACCGGATGATCCATATGGGCTGTCTCCCTCAGAAAACCCTGAAATCAATAATATTAAGAAATCGGAAAAAAAAAAAAAAAAAAAATGCACACTACAATGTAGTGAAATAGGTATTAAGCTACTCCATATTTATGAAATAAAATTCCCAGTACCAGAAACATTAATGGAAAACTATAGAGCACAAGAGTTTGATGTTATATATTCCATGAAACATGCGAAGTACCAAGTTTGAAATCAATTTCCCTCAAATCAACTTTCTCAAACATTTTGGTTTTGGAATAAGAATAAATCAATAGTTCAGATACATCAATTTCATTTATATGGAGGTAAGAGAGCAAGTAATAGAAAGGGGGAGAACATAGTATTTCAAATTTCAATTACAAAATATTTTTCTTAACAGTTTCTTAATGGCAAATAATTGCACTCCACAAAAACAGAATACCATATAATATAATGTCAAAAATGGTAACCTGAATGCACTGAGAAACTACTGTGCCACCATGCACCTTTCCAGTCATTCTGAGCAGTAGAATCATTTCCTGAAAAACAAGATACAAACAATTTAATTATGGTATTAAGCAAGTCATTAACATAACTATCACCCCTCACATATTAGAAGTGCCTAACATGGGAATGTTATATAACCAAGCAAATATAACATTTGCTATCTTAAATAACTTGAACCAAACACCCCCTAAAGGTCTTGAAACCCCAAACTCCAAGTCTTGTTTTAGTTGCAAGGGTACTATTGTACTAAAGAGCCAAAACACCTGGGATACCAAAAGTTACCTGTGCGACTAACACCGTCAAGGTTTAAACAGTGTGGATTCCAAGCATACAAATCAACCAAATGACCAAATCTGTTCAAAGAAGCAAGACATATTATCAAAAAAATCAAAAATTAAACTGATCAGATAACCCTATATGAGTTGAAGATATACCTGTCATCTCCATTACCATCTCTATTATCAATTGGATTTCCACCATAAAGTCTGCCGGGAATAGCATTTCCAATGGAGAAGTGCATGATATCAACTTCAAAGCCCCGACAACTTTTATCGTTGCATGAATTAGGTGATTCTTTACATCCACCCATCTAGTCCAACAAAATTGGAGGGTCTTAGAAAGAAAAGACAATGACAAAATGGGAGGGAAATTACCTTCTTTCTTAGGTTATCTTCCTATTATATTCCCCTTCTATATTTCTAGAAATATTCCCTAATGAATAAATATGCATATGTAAAGTTTCTTGTTCAGCACATGTAAAATCCAATAAAACAAGCTCTAATAAAAAGTTTTAATAATTAATCATTTACATTATGATATGTGGCACTCTCACCAACTTGGTACATCAATGCTACAGATGGGCACTTGTAATCATCTCTGCATGAGAAGAAACAGCACATTATTACCTCAGCACATGTAAAATTCAATAAAACGTTTCATAATTTGTAAGACAGGTATGTTCTAATAAGAAACAAACACATATTAACTCACTAGAAAGTAACTACCAAAAAACAACGATATTTGGATTTAACAATAGAACCGCATAAATGATAATAAAACATTTCATATTTTATAAGATAGGTATGCTCTCATTTATCCGAGGAAAACCATGTCGTTGGGGGACTTAAGAACGGATAGTGTTACGAATGATATCTCAAAACCTATCAATCACAAAGGCATTCAAACTCATTTTCCCACTCAAGTGGTTTTATAAATTATCGCACTATGTACTAATAGCAATACCATAAACTTCTTTCAACCAAAAGCAAAATGAAGTATTACTAGAGAACTTTTTACTTTATAGGAAGATTTCATAGACCTATCAAGATAATTGTGAGGTTTCTATAGGAAGTACATTTTTGGGTACAAGGGTTACACCTTTTGCAAGAGATAAATAAGTATTTGTCAAAACATTAAAAAGTTAAAATTAAAAAATAATAAAAATAAAATAAAAAGATTGTATAGCTAGTTATGATCACCAAAACTAAATTCTAGCTTTCTGAATTTGAATTTCATATCCCCACCTCTTGGAAGCATGGTTGGGCAAGAGAAGACGTTGCATATTTACATACTCTCCTTGATGTTCATGGTCTATAAGGCATTCTAGATATTTCAGAACTTTCATTGATGTTTGATAACCAGGAGCCTTTCAAAAATTTCAAATGTTGGATGATCAGGACAATTTAAATTTATGGAGACATGTAACTAAAGTTAAAAATGGAGATGCATGCCTGGCACAATACAACATCAGTTCATTCCAAGTATTTCTTTATTACATTAAAAAAAAAAAAACAATTACTTAGCACAGTTTCTGAGAATTTATATATTTAAACGAAAGATAATAACTAACCCTTTCGTGTAAGCATAGTCCCCATCTACTTGCAGCATGAAGTATACATCTTTCCCATCGTGCAAAGCCTAAACAGAAAATGATTTAATGTAAATAATAAGAAACTATGTTGTGTGAAAAATCAATAGTTATACAAATATGTGTAGAGAGTCAGTAATAGTGAAAATCAAGAGCACTTTGACGGTCATTTTTCCACCACCGAACTGATGGTCATTATCCGGGTCGAGAGCGGGAAGGAGAGGGAACTCGAACCCGTCAATATCCGCCCAGTCATCAGCGTGGCCGTCGAGGGTGACGAGTCCAGGCCGGAAATCGGCCACGATTCGGGACTCCTCCACATCCGAGTCGCAGTGCCACTCGCCGGACTCCTCGTGTGCGGTAACGATCCTGACCCGGGTCGACCCGAGTGCGAGCAGGAGGAGGGAAACCCCGGTGAGAAAGTGAAGTTTGAGATTCATCGGTCGGAACGGCGGCGTATCAGGTGGTGTGGTGGACGAACGGTATCCCCGAGACGCCTGATTTTTGGAGCTTCGGAAATGGAGAATCGTTGACTCCAGTTTCGTAGGCGGCGCCCATGAATTGTCGCCTCATATGCCATGTGGGCTAATACTACAACTGTTTTTCGCTTGGATGTTTCGTCAACTCTGTTTCAAGGTATCTTCCTAAAAGCATCTTATCCGCTACATTTTAGTTAAAAAGCTGTCCTTCATGCCAGCCAGGGCAACTTATAGCATAGACAAAAGTGGTAAAAATATCTATTTGGTTAATTTATTTTTTATACTTTTATTTTGTTTAATTTAGTCTTCCTATTTTAAAAAAGAGTAAATACTCAAAATGATCTTTCGATTATAGCTAAATTCACAAATTGGTTCTCGACTTTTAATTTTAACCAATTAAGTCCTTAACTTTGTAATTTTAACACGATTTGGTCCTCCGTCTATTTGACCGTTTGTTAACTGTGATTTTTTAGAATATATATGTAATTTCATGGTCCATTGTCGGTTTTTTAAGGTTCCGGTTGCATTTTCAGACCGCACTGTTACATTCAAATCCACTGCCAAAAGCAATCTGCCAAATCCTGTCGTCTTTCTTCATCCCCTATTTGGATTCAATGTAGTTGAGTTCGTACCTGAGCGAAGAGTTAAGAAAAGTGGGGTGTTATGTAACACGATAGATTGTGTCACGGCAGCGGATGAGGGCGGGCGGCAATGAAATTACATATATATCCTCAGAGATCACGGTCAACAAACGGTCAAATAGACGGAGGACCAAATCGTGTTAAAATTACAAAGTTAAGGACTTAATTGGTTAAAATTGAAAGTCGAGGACCAATTTGTGAATTTAGTTATAGTTGAGGGACCATTTTGAGTATTTACTCTTTAAAAAGTGATAAAACTATTAAAGACTTGTGGTATACCAAGTTGCTCCCTTACATGGAAAGTGATATGTAAAAAAAAAAAAAAAAAAAAAAAAAAAAAAAAAAAAAAAAAAAAAAAAAAGTGATAAAACTAAGGACAATAGTTAACGGTGTTAATATTACCGTTAACTTAGTTTACGTGGCATTGACATCATTACTGTCACATTATGATATTTATATTTCACCTCATATATTATTTTATAAATATTTAAAATTTAAAATTAATTATTTTTACCACTAATATATTACATTAATATGTCCAAAATAAATAACTACAAGCATGCTAACGAGTGTCCAAATCTCATTAGGAATATTTTAGTAATTATTTATTTTAGCCATACTAATTTAATATATTGGTAGTAAAAATAATTGATTTTAAATATTTATAAAGTAATATATGAGTAGAAATATAAATATCATGATGTGATAATGATGATGCCAGCGCCAGGTAACATAATATAAGCTAACAGTAACATTAACACTGTTAACAATTGTTCTTAATTGCATTACTTTTAAAAGTACAGTGACTAAAGTGAGCAAAATAAATATATAAGGACTAAATTAAACAAAACACTATAATACAAGGACCTCGTGTGTACTTTAACCAACAAAAGTTGATCATTATCATTATAATAGAGTAAATTCATTAAAATAGGAGTTATATTACCTGTCTCACAAATTCCTAATCCCTCACTTTTATTTCATGGCTGCACTACGGGAGATATCCCGCTGTACTTGAAGAGTATAGCGACGCGAACTGGATATCTGATATTAAGGACTCTAAGTCTATGAGTGACTATGTGTTTACACTAGCCGGTGCAGCCGGTGCATGGAAATCCTCTAAGCAAACTGTGATAGCTAGATCCATGATGGAATCTAAGCTGATAGCCTTGGACAAAGGTTGTGAAGAGGCTGAATGGCTATGCCATTTTATAGAGGATATTCCTAATTGGGAAAGACCGGTACCTTCAATATGTGTGCATTGCGATAGTCAAGCCACAATTGGGAGAGTACAGAGTCATATGTATAATGGTAAGTCTAGACATGTGCGTCGTAGACATAATACCATTAGACAACTGCTCACAACTGGTGCTGTCTCGATTGACTACGTAAAGTCAAAAGACAATATAGCGGATCCGCTGACCAAAGGGTTAGGCAAAGAAGTTGTGGAGAAGTTGACACGAGGAATGAGTCTAATGCCTTTGTACTAAAAAGTTCTATAGTGGATACCCAATCTAGCTGGCACCTAGGTTCAATGGGACAACTAAATTATGAAACGGAGCGCGTCACTGTGGGGGTCTCGGACTCCCTACCACTCCTTGTTAAAAACAGTGACTCCCGCACGAGGCTAGCATGTTGATGCTTTAATGATTCTTGAGTATGCGGGATACTCGAGAAAGAATCACATATGTAAGAGAGAAGTGAGGATCGCTTCAAATGAGAATTGTTGGGCACAATTCTTTAGAAACTCTCGCAGAACTAGGAACGGCGACCCACGATCAAAACGGGCACACTCATGAGAACAGAGCACGGTTGGGAGGTTCCTATGTGAGATATGTCATCGTCTACACAAACGACAGTCGGTTCAAAGACATCGCGTTCTACCGTACAGCCAGTAGAGTAAACATGTCTTCACAAGGGAAGGTTCAAAGGGTATAGTGGCTCCCTACCTATCCTATGCAGAGATCGACCGTTTGAACACAGTTGTTTCCGATTTCAAAATACCCTGAAAATCAATTTTTTATTCATGTGGGGGATTGTTGGAAAAAAAATAGCTTAAAATGGCATGTTAAGTGGCTATTTTGTGGCACAATTATCAGTGGGGTCCACTTCCAATTTGGGTCGGGTCAAAGTGGATTCGGATTCTTCGTAGTGAGATGAAGAGATTGATATATTGTACGCTCAAAACGGATAATGGGTGAATGAGATATTGATTCTCAAAGTAGACCCATTTGAGTTGGAAAAATAAAGGGGAAAAGTGAGCTTTTGTCCCACATTGGTTTGGAAAGAGGATTTGCCCCCCCCCCCCCCCCCCCCCTTTTATACAAGAGCTCTTTTGGAGCTTGTAGAATTGTATAGCATAGAGGCTCTCTCGCGGGGGGGGGGGGGGGGGGGGGGGTGCGAATCAAATTCCAACTAGAAACGAGATAAAAAATCAAGCCCGAGCTCATGTGCGCCGCTAGAGCTATGTTTTGTTTCGGCCTGGTGGTCGAAACTGGAAACATGATGTATGTTTCGGCTTGGAATGTTTCTGTGACTTGACTATCTTTTGGCTATTTTAGTACTTAAAGTTAACTTATAAAGAAGTCATGGAATATAGTTAGCATTATGCTAACATTAAGAGATCTCTACTTAAGGCATGCTTATAAAGTTTTAGAGATCATACAGTGTACTCTTTTGTACAATTTGGATGCGTTTTCTCCTTCAGTTGTGCACATAATGTATTTGATGTATGTTTCGGCCTGCACGAACCTGTCCTGTTGTGACTGTTGGGTGGTCAATTCAAACCCATGTTCATGTTAATGGCTGCTGTTACAGGAAGGTGGAGGGGTGCCCTTAAGTGCCTAATTAAAAGCTATTTAATCTCCCACCTCTATATAAGGAGTTGGGCAGTAGAGATTTACACATAACAAGAAAGTATCTTTTTGCCTCAAAACTCTCTGCTTCTACTCTTTCTTAGACATACTGTGTTCATAATCTTGCTCTACTTCGCAGGATTCCTTGTTTGGGTGCTCAAACATTGAATCGTAGCAAGTTTTATCCTGGGAAGCCTAGGCCACAACGCTCCTAGCATTTTTGGGAGGTGGCAAATAATGTTTTAATGAATGAGTGATCGCTTGACTCTTGCTAAAAACTCAACACCAAACACTAGTCAAATTCTCCATCTTTCCTTCCCTTCTTTTTCAGAAAAATAATAATCTTATTTTATTGGATTATTATTTGTTTTTCACCAACGGATTTCCAACAAGAAATGCCCTGTCGCCATGGAGATATATGGAGAGTTGTCATGCCACCTCAACATTTTGATAGGAAGCTTTCAACAAGTTGAAATTTTTTGCTAAAAAAACTCTTGAAACCAAAGGAGGAAAGCATGATTTTCATCAATCTGCGTGGCATATTTGGAAATGGAGAAACTCTTTCGTGTTTATGAATGCTAGGATTCATAAAAACCAAAAGTTGCTTGGATTAGGAAGTACAATTTAGAGGTTCACATTGCCTTGGAGGGTAATCTAAGTCTGAGGAGACCCCAAGCCTCACCATCGAGAAGCCTTCATTGTTTGAGAAAACCCAATGTGAGTTGGGTAGCACGTAAGCTGGAACAAACGGGTGAAGTTAGCAAGCTATCTGGAAGTTATTAGAAATCACAACAATGACTAAATTGAGAGATTCCAGAGAAACTTAGGGGATTGTAGTGTTGGTAGGGAATATCCCGACCGACATAGCTTCACCACGACCGAGGAGCCTTTTGTCTCTTTCTCCTTGTCTTTGCAGGTAACAGGTCGGGCTCAACGAGAAGAACCCGGTCGTAGACCGACCGGAGTTGCCCGAGCGACGGTGTCGACCACCGAGCGGTAGCCCTTTGGCGAAAGAGCTGGCGAAGGACACGTGGCGGCTCTTTACATCGACAGGCAGGGCACCCAGGAGGATGGCACGTGGTGGCTACGTGGAAGACATGCCGAGCAGCTGGGATCTTGTCTCCGGCACAGCGGCTATAAATGCCCACAGTAGCTACAGTGTAGAGGACTTTTGGACGATCGATAGGTTGTTACTAGAGAATCCCGACCGCACTCAGTCGGTACTCAGAGCAACCAAGTAGATTGTACTTAGGGCCTCTACCGTGATCAATAAAGGTTTTACTTGCTTTAATTGGTCTCGTGTTATTTTATATTGCTTACGTATAATTAGCAGTATCATTTTGGCGCCGTCCGTGGGGATCCGTGCAACAAGCCAACGTCTTGACGAGCACCCGATCACCATACCAACATGTATCCGTGGGCACACAACAACTTCGCCGACGACCAGGCGGATGCGGCGAGCTCCTCCGACCACTATGCTACCCAACAGCAGGGTCAGACGATGGACCTCAACCTCAACCTTTCACCACCGCATCCGTCAAATGCATACCCGGCCGCCCAGCAGCCGGTAAATTACATACAACCGGGATACCCACCACCCGGTCTGCCATACCAGCAGCAGCCGATGATGTATCCCGCCCAGTACCCGTACCCAGTCCCACCTCCACCATACGGGTATTGGCCAGGCCAACCGATGTATTACACTTCCCCGGGTGGTTATCCACCATATACGCCTGCATA